GGTGGGGTAATTCTTCTCATGTATTTTCAATTGCCTAGACGCATAAGATATGACATTTCCTTCTTGCATTAACACTCCACCCAAACCCATCTTAGAAGCGTCACAATAAACCACAAAAGTCTTACTAAGGTCAATTTGACTAATTACACAAGCACCCACCACGCGGTCCGTAAGATCATTTATCCTAGGCAATGGATATTTATTCTTAATGGTCACCTTGTTCAATTGGCAATAATCTACACACAATCTCATGATACCTTCCTTCTTCTTAACTAATAGTATGGGTGCTCCCCAAGGTGATACATTAGGCCTCACAAACCCCTTCTCCAACAAGTCTTCTATTTTTTTCTTAAGCTCCACTAACTCTATGGGTGACATCCTGTAAGGTGCAATAGAAATAGGTCTTATTCCTGGTACTAAGTCTATAGAAAATTCTACTTCTCTTCTAGGTGGTAAGCTAGACATATCATCAAAGCAGACATCCAAAATGTCACACACAACAGGCAGTTCATTCACCAAAACATTACTCTCAAAATTCAAAGAAGCTAACAACATGTACACTTGGGCATCCTCTTGCAAAGATACCATAACTTGGTTGGCAGTCAAATAATCCTTACTCACTTTTTAACCAGGCTCACCAAAAATAATAGATTTATCAGCACAATTCAAAAGGACATGATTGGAAGATAACCAGTCCAAACCCAGAATGACATCTAGCTGACTTAGAGGCAAACAAATAAAGTCAACCATGGAATCTCCACCATCAATAATCAAAGGACACTTTAAACAAATATCAGAAGTAGGAACTGAACCACTAGTTGGTGTCTCTACTATTAATTCAAAAGACAAAGCAAAAACAGGAAATTTTAATTTGGACACACACGCATGCGATATGAAAGAGTGAGTCACACCAGAGTCATACAAGACAATTTTAGGAGTTCCATCAATGAAACACATACCCTGGATTAAGTCTTTTGATTGAGTAGCTTCAGCACCACTCAAGGCAAACACCCTTCCCATCGCCCTAGGTTTGCTAGCACTCCCTCCAACTTCCGTTGTTCCTTTCTTGTTCTTAGGGCATTCACGAGCTTTGTGTCCTTTCTCTTGACAATTAAAACATGTTATTACTTTTGATGCCTGACACTCATATGCCCTATGACCTGGCTCTCCACATTTGAAGCAGTTGTTGTGTGGAACAGAACCCACACTTCCCCCTTTAGAAGTTTGACTAGCCATTGAAGCTTGACTCCTTTGTTGCACTGAACCTTGGTTATTCACTTTAGAACTTGAATCCCCAACAGACTTGGTGTAAGGTTTACCTTTACTAGATGACCCAAACTTATTATGATTCCTCATGGGTCCTCCTCTCTTATAATGAGTTACTCTAGCACGATTGTCCTCATCATAGACTCGGCACTTGTTCACTAGTTCATGATATTGAGTGATCCCTTGATAATTGAAAACTTGTTTTATCTCAGGGCGAAGACCACTCACAAACTTCACACATTTGTCCTCCTCATTGCCCACACCATCATACATAGGACAAAATTTAACCAAGTCTTCAAACTTAGTCACATACTCAGCCACAGAATCCTTTCCTTGCTTCAACTCAAGGAATTCCACATGTTTCTTATGTCTCACATCTCGAAGAAAGTATTTCTCCAAGAATAGTCACTTGAAATTCTCCCAGTTCACTTAGGTACCTACAGCTATCATTCTTTGCAAAGCACCTTGCCACCAGATGTCAGCCTCTCCAGAAAGCATGAAGGCAGCCAAAGTCACCTTCTGCACCAGAGGACATCCCATAGCTTGGAATATCTTTTCATTCTCAAATATCCAGTCAGCAGCTCCATCAGGATTATGACCCCCACGGAAGCTAGGTGGATTATTTCGCTGGAATCTCTCCAACCAATCTATATCTGGTCGTTGGTTCAAATTACCAAGAGCCTGAGCCATCGCTTGTAGAGCATCAGCGATTGCACGATCGTTCCTACCTCCTGCCATTACTTTTCTGATCCCCAAAAAAGTTAACAATTATACTCTAATTAAAAATAAACAACAAACTTAATCAATCGTCATACTAGCATATCAATAAGTTCAACAATCAATTCATTGCATCACTCATCTACCAAACAAGTATAGTAGACTCATAACTCACGGCCGATTGGATCGACCTGCTCTGATGCCACTAAATGTGACACCCTTACTACCCCAACACATACATTGTAATAATGTAATTAAATTAAGAAAAATAAACTTTCAAAGTTGGTAAAAGGGTTCACATAAAAACCTTTAGAAACATTCTTCGATATCCAAAATAATTTGAAAATGAAACTTGGAAAATAAAACATAATAGGTTATAAAATGTTTTCAAAATAATAACTTCAACTCCATTTATAAATAAATTCCATGTCCTAGAAGTCCTCTGCCCCGATGTCACAATATCAGAGCATACCCAAAACTCAACTGTTGGCATTCTAGATGCCACTCATAGCCGGATCTTCCTCACCTAAAACATCCACAAATTATACGGTGAGAAAAGAAAACATCTATATGAAAAGCACACAATAAAAATCTACAATATCGTCTCATCATAACTCGTTACTTATTAAAGTATTTACAAATATTTCTATCTATCCTAATTCTATCAATCATGAAACATATTCGCATCACAATTCACAATCAGATCAATCCATCACAAATCTTGCGATTAACCTTATGCCAAGGTCACGCCTGTAGCATCTCTTGCTGAAGATAACCAGTCCAAACCCAGAATGACATCTAGCTGACTTAGAGGCAAACAAATAAAGTCAACCATGGAATCTCCACCATCAATAATCAAAGGACACTTTAAACAAATATCAGAAGTAGGAACTGAACCACTAGTTGGTGTCTCTACTATTAATTCAAAAGATAAAGCAGAAACAGGTAATTTTAATTTGGACACACACGCATGCGATGCAAAGGAGATGGTTAGAGTTCCTTAAGGACTATGATTTTGATCTTAGTTATCATCCGAGCTTTGTGTCCTTTCTCTTGACAATTAAAACATGTTATTACTTTTGATGCCTGACACTCATATGCCCTATGACCTGGCTCTCCACATTTGAAGCAGTTGTTGTGTGGAACAGAACCCACACTTCCCCCTTTAGAAGTTTGACTAGCCATTGAAGCTTGACTCCTTTGTTGCACTGGACCTTGGTTATTCACTTTAGAACTTGAATCCCCAACAGACTTGGTGTAAGGTTTACCTTTACTAGATGACCCAAACTTATTATGATTCCTCATGGGTCCTCCTCTCTTATAATGAGTTACTCTAGCACGATTGTCCTCATCATAGACTCGGCACTTGTTCACTAGTTCATGATATTGAGTGATCCCTTGATAATTGAAAACTTGTTTTATCTCAGGGCGAAGACCACTCACAAACTTCACACATTTGTCCTCCTCATTGCCCACACCATCATACATAGGACAAAATTTAACCAAGTCTTCAAACTTAGTCACATACTCAGCCACAGAATCCTTTCCTTGCTTCAACTCAAGGAATTCCACATGTTTCTTATGTCTCACATCTCGAAGAAAGTATTTCTCCAAGAATAGTCACTTGAAATTCTCCCAGTTCACTTAGGTACCTACAGCTATCATTCTTTGCAAAGCACCTTGCCACCAGATGTCAGCCTCTCCAGAAAGCATGAAGGCAGCCAAAGTCACCTTCTGCACCAGAGGACATCCCATAGCTTGGAATATCTTTTCATTCTCAAATATCCAGTCAGCAGCTCCATCAGGATTATGACCCCCACGGAAGCTAGGTGGATTATTTCGCTGGAATCTCTCCAACCAATCTATATCTGGTCGTTGGTTCAAATTACCAAGAGCCTGAGCCATCGCTTGTAGAGCATCAGCGATTGCACGATCGTTCCTACCTCCTGCCATTACTTTTCTGATCCCCAAAAAAGTTAACAATTATACTCTAATTAAAAATAAACAACAAACTTAATCAATCGTCATACTAGCATATCAATAAGTTCAACAATCAATTCATTGCATCACTCATCTACCAAACAAGTATAGTAGACTCATAACTCACGGCCGATTGGATCGACCTGCTCTGATGCCACTAAATGTGACACCCTTACTACCCCAACACATACATTGTAATAATGTAATTAAATTAAGAAAAATAAACTTTCAAAGTTGGTAAAAGGGTTCACATAAAAACCTTTAGAAACATTCTTCGATATCCAAAATAATTTGAAAATGAAACTTGGAAAATAAAACATAATAGGTTATAAAATGTTTTCAAAATAATAACTTCAACTCCATTTATAAATAAATTCCATGTCCTAGAAGTCCTCTGCCCCGATGTCACAATATCAGAGCATACCCAAAACTCAACTGTTGGCATTCTAGATGCCACTCATAGCCGGATCTTCCTCACCTAAAACATCCACAAATTATACGGTGAGAAAAGAAAACATCTATATGAAAAGCACACAATAAAAATCTACAATATCGTCTCATCATAACTCGTTACTTATTAAAGTATTTACAAATATTTCTATCTATCCTAATTCTATCAATCATGAAACATATTCGCATCACAATTCACAATCAGATCAATCCATCACAAATCTTGCGATTAACCTTATGCCAAGGTCACGCCTGTAGCATCTCTTGCTCGAGGTCGTGCCACCCCCGACATAAGCATTAATTGCCTCACACATCCCACCCTATGCATACTCAGCCACAGAATCCTTTCCTTGCTTCAACTCAAGGAATTCCACATGTTTCTTATGTCTCACATCTCGAAGAAAGTATTTCTCCAAGAATAGTCACTTGAAATTCTCCCAGTTCACTTAGGTACCTACATTCATCCCTGACATGTTATCCAAGGTCACGATACCCACGTAACAATCAAGAGCCGTGCTCACCCCTGATATAACATTGTGCCAAGGTCACGTTACCCCTAACCTGGGGTCGTGTTCACCCCTGACATGTTATCCAAGGTCACGATACCCATGTAACAATCCAGGGTCGTGCTCACCCCTGGTCATAAGTGTGAAGAACCACAATCACATCACATTCACACTCCACACAACATCTCATCTCATGTTCACATACTCACATCATAATTAATTGGGCAGTTAAGTCATAACATACCATTCGCAACATCATGTTATCAATTAATATAATAATCAATGGAATTACACATTTAATATAATCTTAACATAAACAGTAAAACCCCCAATTGTTCCAAAACCTAACTCACAGGAACTTTTCTACAATTTCGTTCTCTCTCCCAGATCATCATTCTTACAAATTAAATATATATTTCTAATCCTCAACACATACAGTATCTAATGGGATCATTAACTCCTCAAACAGAAATAATCCAATTTTTCCAAAACCTAACTTACAGGCACTTTACTACAATTTCGTTCTCTCTCCCAGAGCATCATTTTTACAAATGAATCATATATTCGTAGTCCTAAATACATAGAGAATCACATAAGACCAATAATTCTCCAAACAGAACTAATTATAAAATTACTCATAATCCTAAGGGACTCTTCCTCTACCCAATTCCCATATGTAACTCTACATATAAGAAATCTTCTTTTCCCTCGTACCTCGATAAGCAGTAGTTGAAACTAAAATAGAGATTTCCTTGGTCTCCTCCTCTAAGTGCCTCTCGTTCTTCAGAGAGTGTAGAAGGGAAAGAAGAGAATGTAGAAGAAAGAAGTCAGAACTAAAAGAAGTCAGAACTAAAAAATATGATTTTAGGAGTGCTAGAGCACTCAATTTATAGGCATCAAGTTTCATGGAACGGCCTGTTTCAAATCAGGAATGGCCCGTTCTGAAATCTCACGTCATGAATAAAATTCACATCCAGAACGGCCCGTTCTCAAACCAGAATGGCCCATTCTGGGATTGCAATTAAACCCATAACGGCCATATTTGGAACGGTCCGTTCTCATCCCTGGAACGGTCGTTCTCATCTTTGGAACGCCCCGTTCCAATCTAGGGTTATAGGCCAGTTTGGGGGTTTAGAAAGGTCTGTTCTAGGCTACCAAAAATAGGTTTTTTCAGTAGTTTGGAACGGCCGGTTCCAATTTAGGAACGGCCCATTATGGGCTACTAAATCACCCCTAAAAATTACTAAGTTACCCTCAATTAAAGAATAAAAATTAGGGTGTTACAGGAACTAAACAAAGTACTCAATTACCCTTATATTTCTTAAAAGTTATATTGTAGCAGAATAAGTATAAGGTTTCATTACAACAAAATTCTCATACAGTGACACACACCTTATAGTGACACTATATATGTCACTAAAAATTACTTTTGGAATATCTTTTCATTCTCAAATATCCAGTCAGCAGCTCCATCAGGATTATGACCCCCACGGAAGCTAGGTGGATTATTTCGCTGGAATCTCTCCAACCAATCTATATCTGGTCGTTGGTTCAAATTACCAAGAGCCTGAGCCATCGCTTGTAGAGCATCAGCGATTGCACGATCGTTCCTACCTCCTGCCATTACTTTTCTGATCCCCAAAAAAGTTAACAATTATACTCTAATTAAAAATAAACAACAAACTTAATCAATCGTCATACTAGCATATCAATAAGTTCAACAATCAATTCATTGCATCACTCATCTACCAAACAAGTATAGTAGACTCATAACTCACGGCCGATTGGATCGACCTGCTCTGATTCATGGTGCTCGTTTTTCCAATTATGAAGCATGGTTAAGTGATCCTACTCACATTAGGCCTAGTGCTCAGGTGGTTTGGCCAATAGTGGGCCAAGAAATATTAAATGGTGATGTAGGGGGAGGGTTCCGAGGAATACAAATAACCTCTGGTTTTTTTCAGATTTGGAGAGCATCTGGAATAACTAATGAATTACAACTCTATTGTACCGCAATTGGTGCATTGGTCTTTGCAGCCTTAATGCTTTTTGCTGGTTGGTTCCATTATCACAAAGCTGCTCCAA